GGTGCCCAACCCCGAGGAGGAAGAGGAGGAGAGGAGGGCAAGCAAGCGAACCCACTGCCTGGTGATTTTGTTTGAAAAGTCATTTATTTTTTATTGGTTTTTTGTTTTTTTTTTTTTTTTGATTTAATGCGCTTTTTTTTCTGTTTTTTGGAGGGGAGGGTTTTAGGTTTTTCTGGTACGGAAACGCAAATAAGTTTTAGAGACGCTGGATAGAAACCGACACAAATTCAAGTCCATGTGAAATTTTCTCCTTTTTTTTTGGCTGTTTTTTTTTTTTTTTTTATTATTATTATCATTATTATTCCTCTCCCCTGTCACGCGTGGGGCGTCCGGTTTACAAGAAGCAGACGGGGCCGATGTTGATGCCGAATTCCTGGTCTGGAGCGCCAACGTCCATGGGAGCCAAATCAATGATGGGCAGGCGAGAGGTCTTCGTCGTCTTGTACTCGATGACTGTCTTGCCCCAAGCGCCGGTGTGACTCTGCGGGGAGGTCAGGGTCAACCCCGTCCCCACCACGCGTCCCCACCACCGCCACCGAGACCGTCCCCTGGACCACTCACCGTGCAGCCATCCTCGGTGACGCCGTAGGTGAAGCGGCTGTTGCCTTCGGCCCTGATCTCGATCTCGTTGGCGCCTTGGAGGAGAAGGGCCTTCTTCAGGTTGCCGGTGTCCCGGTCCATGTAGGCGACGCTGTTCTTGCAGTGGTAGGTGATGTTCTGGGAGGCCTCGGTGGACATCAGGCGGAGGAAGGTCAGCTGGATGGCGACGTCGGCTGGGTTGGAGCCCTCACCACCATACTCGAACTGCCGGGAGAAGAGGCGTTAGGCACCGCAGAACGGGTCGTCCATCCCGGTTGTCCCCCTTCCTTCATCATCCCCCTGCTCACCTGGAAGCCGTCGCTCATTGTCTCGCCGAACCAGACGTGCTTCTTCTCCTTGGGGTTCTTGCTGAGGTACCAGTTCTTCTGGGCAATGGTGGCCTGGGTGGGGTAGACGCACGTCTCGCCCGTCTCCATGTTACAGTAGACCTTGATGGCGTCCAGGTTGCAGCCTTGGTTGGGGTCGATCCAGTATTCACCTGCGGGGCGGAAGGAGGGAGGTCAGGGAGCGGGGAGGGAGGTGAGCGGCCACGATGGATGGAGGATGGAGGTGAGGAGCAGCCACGGAGGGTGGAAGCGAGCAGCAGCCATGGAGGACAGAGGGATGGAGGTGAGGAGCAGCCACGGAGGAGG